TAGTGTTACTCAGTGCTGAGGGGCATGCTGCAGTACCGGGAGGGAGTGCAGGGAAGAGAGAAGCTTTGGATGGTGCTACTCAAGTGCTCTACGGTGGGGTGAGTTATGGGGTGGTTATGTTCTCAGCCTGCACTTGTGTGCTGGGGACAAGGGTAATGCATTGCTCATGCTGTAAAATTCAACAAGCTGGCCACACACCGTATATTCACTTTTATGGAGACATGCTCTACTTCGTTGACAAAAACAGCGCATTTATTCCTGATCCCGGGCAAGCTTTCTAAGTCTCCCAGTAGTTTTATGTTGTTTTGTTGTTTTTGTTTTTGTTGTTTTGTTTGTTTATCTGTTTGTTAGTTGTTGAGACCCACAAAGGTTTCCTAGTGAAAACTTACTCAGTCAGGGTCAGAGAATCTGAGCTTGCTTGAACCAGCAGGGCTGCATAAGGGGATGATTTGACCACAGGCATGGTTCCCAGATGTTTGGAAGGGTCTACATTTGCCTGTGTGGTATGCTTTGATCAAGCAAGGGGGGAGGTGTCTTTTGTCCTGCCCTTGGGCATTGTTATAAAAAGCCCTTTTGAATAAACAGAAAAGACTGTTGGGTTTTCATCCAGGTCCTCTCGAAGTTATCCTGTGTTTCTGTCTTTCTCCTCTTCGCTATCTTTCTATCTAATATTCTTATCTCTCTCCTCCTCATAGAAACCCTGGAAAAGGTGGCAGCTGGCCTCCCACAGTTAATGGCATGAAAAATGGACATGTATTCCTTTCCTTTGAAAGTTATTTTAAAAAAGAAAAAGAAAAAACTACATTTACACAAATCCTTACCAACATTTATAGACTTCACCTTTTTTGTTGAAAACAAGCTTCAGCATATTCATACAGAGATGAAAGATGGGGAGCAGAGCAGATACAGATCAGTTCCCCTCTCCTGCAGCCCTAATACTAACAGTCATGAGGCCCTGGACTTCGGTTTACCCACAGTGCAGAATTTTAGGTAATTTGAAAGTTCATTTCTTAGGCATATTATTCAGGATAATTGGACAAGAATAATCATAGCTTACTGTGAGTTACATTCATTTCATTGATAAAAAATGGGAAAAAATAGAGCTGCTAGCCATTGACAAGAGGAGAATCAATAATAAATATAAACCATGCAGTAAGATAATCTGTACAGATGAACATTCATTATGGTTATATGTGATATGGATGGATCTCAGAAAGCATAGTACGAAAAGACAGTATACACAAAAATACATATAGGTGAATATTATGGTAGTATTCATATAAGCTTAAATCAACTAACATGAAACATACTATTTAGGGATAAATGCACTGTGGTATCAAATACTAAGGGAAGCAAATGATAAATACAAAATGTGGTGCAATGGTGATGTCCAGAGGGAAGCAAGGTGAGGGGGAAGGAAGTAGACAGGGCACCTTTGACCTTATCAGCGTGTTGATTGGTGCATTCGTGAGTATTTATATAGTTATCATTATTATACTTCATAGCGTACATACTATCTTTTCTGTATTAAACAATTCATAAATTTTTAAAGGTTGTATGTATTGTTCTAAGAAACTGTTTGAGATAAAGGAGCAAATCCAAAACCCTAAAGTACCAATAAATTGTTTCTGTGATCTTCAGTAGCTTCAGTAATGTGGTTGTTCCCTGTGGAGAAAAGACAGGAACATAATTCTCTAGAATCATTTACCTTTCTCAGCTTTTAGCTCTGCTGCAACACACACCTGAAGCCACACCAGCACAATAGAACACTATTCAAACAGGAAGCCAGGCTCACCTCCTCTCTGGAAGACATTACTAGCTCATCCTTCTAAAGTCCATCTTACATGAAGCGCTACTTGAAAGGTAGTGCTATGAAAGAGCAGCACATGGAGTCTTGCCTTATGGAGTTCACTTGGCTCTCAAGCCAAACAGAAATTCATTAAAATTTTTAATGAGATCATTTCTGGTAGTAAACAGAAAACAAAACATGAATTTTGGTGTCTTTTGGTTCCAGCTTTTGAAAGTAGGGTTTTCCTTCTTACTTTTCTGCAGTTTCAGGAAAACTTGGCCTTCTATTACACTCTGCTAAAAGTAACTTCTGAGCGCTGAGTAGTACAGCACTTACCTCCCAGGCACAAGGCTCTGAGTTCCATATTCAGCACGTGCACACACACACACACACACACACACACACACACACACACACACACACACAAAGGTTACTTTTCTTTAAAACAGTTGGTTTTTAACACAATATATTTATTTATTGTTTGAGAATTTCATACACATACACACTATATCTTGATCATATTCAGCTCCAACTTCTCCCAGATCCCCCATATACATATCTTCCTCCTACCTTCACATCTTTTTTTGTAAATAAGCCACTGAATCTAATTAGTATTGCCCATATGTAAAAGTGTGTATGCAAACATCTACCAGAACATGTTCAGCCTACCAGGGACCACACCCCTAAAGAAGACTGACTCTCCCTCCCTCCACTAGTGACTATTAATTGTGGAACTAGGGGTGGGAGCTCATGTGCTTGTCCCTGATGCAATGTTGCTAAAATGCTGACTGGTTCGATCACATTGTGCAGGTCTTGTGCAGGCAACCACAGCTACCATGAGTTTATGAGTATGGCAGTCTTGTCATGTTCAGAAGACACTGTTCCACCCAAGTCCATTACGATCTCTAGATATTAACAATATCACACACACACACACACACACACACACACACACACACACACACACACTTTTGTGACAACCCCTGAGCCTTGTAGGGAGAAGGTGCAATACAGATGTCCCATTTATAGGTCAACACAAAAGCTCTCTGTTTCCATGAAAGGAGAAAGCAGAAAGGTCAAAAGGATGGCTTAATGTGCTCCTTGATGTGTCAGTTTTACTGGGTTACAATCTCCATATGCCTCTGCTAAGTCAATACTAATACAGGTATTTCTAAAAAGGTGTTTTGTAGATGTGATCAAAGTCCACAAGAAGCTGACTTTAAAGAAAGAGGACTATCCTGGATAATGTAAGTAAGCTTGGCTCATTCACTTAGAAGACCTTACTGCAGAAGCAAGGATTCTAGAAAGAAGAAAGTCCACATGTAGGGAGTAGCTTCAGCCCCTTCTCTTCCTGCCTACTTGCCCTATGGATCTCAGGCTTGCCCAGCCAACCTTCATAGTAGATGAGCCAATTCCTTGTAACAAATCTGCTACTGTTGAGCCTCTGTTTGAACCTTGACTGCCAATGATTGAGTCTAAGATTCCCACCATGAAAGATCCTAAGTCCAAACACAATGTTGGTTCTGTGTTTTCTTGACAAGCGAGAAATGATTCGGGAATTACTGGGACTGGCAGAGGAGTACATTTATCCAGTATCTTCTTGGGGGGCCATCAAACATGCACAGTTCCACTTCACTCTACCATAACCCAGGCAAGGTCATTGTTAATGGCCCGAAGGCACACACAAAGAGACTGAAGTAACTTACAGCAAGCAGTCAAGTCGGCATGGAATGTTGATCCACATGGGCTTCCATGCTGCTTGTCCAGAAATACCAGCCTCTGTCTTCTCATCAGCTTACACTCTAAAGTTTGCAAAATAAAACACTACTCACAACAATGGAAAGTAAAGGGTAAACCAGAAAGTAATCCAATTTAGTTAAAGAACTTGGAAAAATCAGAAGGATAATCAAATTTTTCCTCAGGCATTGACAGAAACATAAAACTCAATTTTTATAACAGACTGTTGAATTCCTCTAAGGAATGCTGAAATAGATGCCTAAGTGACCCAGAGGGTTCATCTAAGTATCTACATTATAGGATTTGGACTTCAATTTAAAAGAGGAAAAGTGATTCACATTGAACCAAATAAATCACACTCTGAAATGTAATGTGTGCCAATCTGCCACTTAATGGCTTATCAAGAAATACTTCATAGTTACCTGTCTGTCCTCAGAGCCTCTTCTTTTAAGAACTTCACCTTGATTATTCTGTGTCTTTAAAGGACTGAAACTGAACAGTCAAAACCCAAGTTCCATTTAAGCTCACTTCCCTTGGAGCCCAGGGCAACCTGTTACTTAAATACAACGGATGAATTTCACTGTATTTCAATGATGTGGGTGACATTTCCTTGACATTCACAATATGTCTATAAATTAGAAGAGCTATAGTTTAAACACAAAATGAATAAAATGATCAAAAGGATCCTCCAGCCACTGCTTAGCCCCGGAGGAGGGGAAGCCAATCTGATTTCTATTCTCTGCTTATGTCAAGCCATACATAGAAGCAGAGGGAAATGGCCATATAAATTGCCTTTTCTCATTATGTTTTGGATTTGCCTTTATATTTCCTAGCTTGTGTAATTACTCCCTGTCTTCTATAGATGCAGATTATAGAACATCTTGATTAATGCGTTGAAACCTTTAATTTACCATAATTTAGGAACCAGAAATTGTTTTCTAAATGTTAAAGCCATAGCAGGGCAAATGACAACATACTAACCTATCCCAAAGCTCATTTGTGCTTCTTTCTTCTTCTTCTTCTTCTTCTTCTTCTTCTTCTTCTTCTTCTTCTTCTTCTTCTTCTTCTTCTTCTTCTTCTTCTTCTTCTTCGTCTTCTTCCCAAAATAGAACACAGAAACTCAATCAAGAGCAGACAGAAAATGCCAGGCAGCACCAAACTCAGGGCTGACGGCTCTTCACAGACTCTGGGATGGAGGTATGCACACCAAAGAAAACTCCATCCTCACCCAGGGGAAGTGGATTACTGGTGCCTTCGTTATCCAACAATGAATAGAGACATCCCAGCTAACACCTGCTGGAGCAAACGCTGTAGAAGACCCTGATCTGAACATTTTACAGTGGAGATAATATTAGTGTCTTGCTTTTATTTCTAATGCAAGGTCATATGGCCAAGAGGCAGTAGAGCCATGGTTCAACCCCAGGAATTTTTACTTTGTAATAGAACGTGTCTCTTGTCCTACTGAGTTAGAAGTGTTTTTTGAAAATTCTGTATCACTTAAGTAGTTGCAGTGTCCAACCCATATGAAATACGCAAGGATTAGATAACAGCCTAAGAATAAAAGAAAACAATGCGTATAAGCTGGACAGAGCACTGGGATCATATGTGTGAACAGAATAAACAGACCAGTCATAATTCCTGAGTAGGAAGTACATACTAAAAGCCAGCTCCAGTCTTCCTTCTCTGCCTCCCACTGAACTGATAAGACAGTTGAGATGTTTCTAAACCTTGGTGACAATAATGATTCTAACAAAAAAAAAGTATTCTGTTTAATCACCCAGCAACTAGTTTATATGCTATTGTGGTGATATTTTATTTGTGCCGAAATGTGATATTTTATTTGTAAGTTAATAAATAAAGTTTGCCTGGAGGTCAGAGGTCTTAGTGAGCCATAAACAGAAGTCAGGTGGTGGTAGCACACGCCCTTAATTCGATCACGTGGCAGGCAGAGTCTCTGTGTGGTCAAGGACACAGCCAAGCATGGTGACACACACCTTTAATCCCAGTACCAACCATAGAGACCTGAAGGTCTGTATAGACAGGCAGTGATGAGGAAGTCATGTGGCTGGGTTTAGAGACAATGAGAAAGCAGAACAGGAAGGCAATAAAATCGCAGGTTAGACAGGAAGAAGCTCTCACGTGGAAAGCTACGGCATGGTGGTAAGCTAAGGTTACTCAGTGGCTCTTTACTATTTCTCTGATCTCTTCAGCTATTACCCCTGTATTTGGCTCTGTGTTTCTTATTTAAAAAGACTGTTTAGAAATCTGTCTACATGCTATACTTGAAAATTGTCATTATGACGCCCATTATGGTTGCTGTACAACAACCTAATAAAAACTGATTTTTAAAAATTGTGGGAAATAGAAAGTTGAGTTGCCCAGAATACCCAGTCCCCTAAGTATTACAGTGACTCAAGGTTTGGACAAGATCTACTTCATTTTTGGATCTTAGGTGTGATCGTCACTGCACTCACTCCATTTCCAGCAAGCGGAGGCATCTGTAGATTCCGTGTGGCTTTGTGAGTCAGTGTCACAATGCTGTCCTGTCACTTTCCCTTTGCAATTTTTATCTGCTACTTGAAGTGAAGGAGGAAAGGCCTGAAATGTGTGTTTTTAAAATACATCCAGGACCACACTTCTCTGGAACTCTTGTTAAATAAAAAATCGTCCAACAGCTGCTAGATGGGAGAGGAATAGCAATCACTTCAGAAGCTGAGCAACTGCAGGGCCTGAAAAATACACCCATTCAGAGCTGGCTGGGGCTGCGATAGTCCGAATGAAATGCTAAATCCAGGCTGCATTTCTTGTCATCGGTCAGACTGAATGTGGAGATGCCTGCAAGTACGCAATTTTCCTTGAATGTTGTTATGGAGAGCATTCATTCTTACGTACACAGCATCTGTAGTCTCATTCTTGGGGATGTCCTCTCCCGTTCCCTGCCGTGGCTATAAAACTGTCTGTTACAAGTCCTTTGGCACAATGAACATGCCAGGGAAATCAGATACACTGTTGAAATTCATAGCACACCAACTACAAAATAGGGGCTGTATCGGTGCATGGTGTGAGATGTATTTCCATTCTTTTCATGTCTCCCTGAATTTATTTGACAGAATTTCAGAAGGGAAACGTGCTTTGCTGGAGGGCAGGTTGTTTGGGCTTCTTGCAGTCGCTAAGAGGCTGATGGATGTTTCACTCTCTTCACCATTATCTCAAACCTCTTCATCTCAGACACCCGGCCACACTCTGTAACAGAGCAGCAGCAGGGATTTTTCCTCCAAATGTCCTTTGTCTTAGTGTTTCTGGAGGCTTTCCTAGGCAAGTTTAGACTTTTCAAAGGCACAGCCAGCTCTAAAACACTGTTATATCAACACCAAAAGGAAAGAGAGAGGCTTTTAGAAGTTTTAGTTCAGCCATCACCAGACCAGCTTCAGCACTCTCCTAAACATCACATCCCTACCACTGTCTTCCAAAACCTAACTCCTAGAGCCTACCGCACTCTCATGCCAACCCCCTCCTTTCAAGTAACGTGGGACATCTGCAAACTTACTTCCTTCACTTCCCAGTCAGCCCTCAACATGTCACATACTGTTAACTCACAGGGCTCTTGTCATCCTACTGAAACTGTTCTTATTCTCATGACCAGGGATGGGCAGATCAGGTGTCTTTTTCAAACTTGGTCACTCAGGGGTATGTACAGATCTCTATCTTCTTGGGATTATGTAGTCCTCTTCTTTTCTGACAAGCTCTGTTCTCTCATGCTCTCTCTCTCTCTCTCTCTCTCTCTCTCTCTCTCTCTCTCTCTC